CCCCCTTGTATTCTGTACTGATGTCCCCCAAGCTGACTAGTTCTGCTGCCGTTCTTCATCGGAACATGACTGGTGAGGATCTCACTCCAGCATCCAAGCTGCTGTTTTAGCTGTGGTTAGTATGTTTTAATGGGTTTACATGTTAAGAGCGCATCTTTAAAAAAAATGCCGTTTCTGGTTGACAGTGCTTGCTATTTTATTCATATATTTCCTTCCTAAAAATTGAGTAATTTGCTTTGGTATAAAAATATCACTTTGGAAATTCACATCAAAGCCTCACATGCACCCATTCTGCATGGAAGTACTGTACAACAGAATAAATGGTGCTGTATGTCTATGTCCTGTGTTATTTTTGTTTTATTCGGTTATGCTGTTTAAAGTATTTTTAAGCTATAGAGAATCATCTGCTGCAGTTTGTAGATACAGTAGGTTTACATTGATATACTGCACATTTCCTTGTTTTCTGATTGCTCATCCTGGATGATATGACTAGGATCTAGACAGAGCAGGAAGAGAAAGAGAGAACAAAGCAAGGTGGAGATGTGAATGGTAGAATAATCTGTTAAAAGAGAGTATCCATCTCCGTCCAGTTCCCATCCTTTCATGCTGAGATTTCAGCCACCACTTCATGAACTTCACAGTTACAGTGCTGTGATGAAGACATAATACATACTGTGACCTGCATGACCTGGATCTGAAGAGTTTAGCCAAATGCTAAGTTAACCTAATACTTTGTATTAATCTATTTCTACATACATTTAGTTGAAGGCAAAATTGGCATCATATAATTTCTACTTTGTGCACCATTTCCATAACAAATCAGAGAATATGTCAAAAGCACCACTGTGCATGCAAAGGACCAAGAGCAGCCTGATCAAGGCACTCATGTTGACTGAAGCTGAGCTGACTTCCAAAAGACAGTACAGGTTCTACAACCCACTGGAAGTGATATCAGGTGTTATTTTCTAACTCCACCAGACTCTGTAACAGCTTGTTCCTGCAGGCTCAGGCTCCTCAACACCCTGGGATCTACCTGCACCCACCCCAATTCCAGAAGCAGGGTTTAAGTCCCCCCAGTGTGCTGTAAAGATTGTATTATGTATTGCCTTGTAATTTGCACTATCTGCACTTTGCACTATGTGTATCCTGCCTACAATGTCTATGTCTGTGTCCTGTCTGTCCTGTCTGTATCTGCATCGTGGACCAGGAGGAACGGTATTTCATTCCACTGTATACGTGTATATAACTGGGATGACAAATAAATGTGAACTTGAACTAGAACTATTTCTATGGTCTTAGAGTTTCCCCAGAAGCTCAGTTGTTGTATTTGACATGTATATACTTCACATGTCATGAATGTGTGTAGATCTGCAATGCAGATGCCCTAAAATAATAATTGTATTAGTATTATTATATTGCTTTGCAGGCACTTCCAGCCTTGTTGTGGGTTGTGGCATAAAACAGTCCGCCCTTTGACCTGGAAAGTATATTTATTCCTTATCCAGGAAACCCCAATTAATGAAATGCTGTAATGCACAATTAGCACTCTGCCTACAGAAGCCAGAAGTCAGTGATTGTGCATTCTTGTTAGTAGCAGGTGGAACGTGTGAATTACAGTGTGGCACAAATAATGACTCATCCTGGGCTTCTGGACATACAGTAGCTGTGAGTATGCAGGGTTTCTTTAGCTGAGACACTCATGCAAATACAAGCCCACAGATCTGCATCTGTGACCGCTATACTGTAGTTCCATTACAAATACATACAGTACATTTCACTCTCTGATCTACCATCTCAGTCTGTCATCCAACAAACATTGGCAAGTCCCAAGCTACCAAGGAGTAAGTTGCTTTTGGGAGTCACAACAGAACAGCCTACCATGCCGGGAAGGCAAAGAAACAGCCTTGGTGGTGATCATTCAAAACAAGCAGCACACTGAGGAATTCTGGCAAAAAGAACCCTATTTGTATTTACACTGGAGGGACACAATGGTGATATTATCAACAACAACACAAAAACCAAAGTAAAAATGGATTCATGTTAAGAATAAGCATCAGGCTTATTCTAGGGGCTAGGAGAACACAGGTTTAGGGATAATTGCATGAACTGAACAGAATGAAGATTATGGATTGTAAGAAAAGTTACATCTTTTAAGATGAAACAGCGAAACGATTGGAAAGAAGGTTTCTTTGAAAAGCAACATTAACACACTGTACTGTATATTCAAAACATTCTGAAAATGATTACATGCCAACTCACATTCCAGCTCAGGGCTATAATTTAAGCAGATGTGGGATTGAGTATGACCTGTCATCCAAACGCAAAAGAAATCAAGCGAATCACGAGCAGCTGTTAATATGCATCGGTATTGTTTGATAGCCAGGCCTAAGCCAACAAGTGTTCATCAATGTTAGGTCCCGTTCCCTTATTAATTCAGGCACTCCAGATGAGCCGACGCAGCCAGAGATTAACCAGTTACTACTGTGTACCTCACCTTCCTAACCACGCGCCTCGCGGTTATCTGTCAGTGGCCCCAAGCGGCCGCGCGAGTGCTTAGCGGTTTCCCGCTGTCGAGAGTCGCAGCAGGGATGGTGGTGCTGAGCGCCCCAAACAGGAGGCAGACGGGTCGTCACTACGCGGACACAACAGTTCTGGTGCATCGGATCCAGATTTTAATTTCCCATTTCTCTCACTTTTGAATAAATATCGGTCACCTTGTGGTCGCGACACAACAACGCTGGACTAATGGTATTAGCGTTATTGTAAAAGGTTGTTTATTTTATTTTCAACGCCTAAATGATTGAGAGTTACAAGCGGTTACAAGATTCGTGGTAATAATGAATGCATGTTATTTACATATACCGGTAATTTCAGGTCACATTTAGACGATGGCTTTGCAACTGCAAATTAAATTACAGCACGGGCGTTGCAATACATTTTCATGCACAGTGCGGGTCCATGTTCAGAAAGTGTAAATAAGCAAATTACTACTAAGAGCTGCCAAATTAAACTCTTGCAAATGAAAAAAAAGTTGGGATGATACGCCCTAGCAACTCAACATGCATATGCAACAGCCGCGCGCTTCACAATACTTTGAAATGCAACTAATGCACAGAATTGTACACCCATAAAGGGGTTCCACTGGCATTTTAAACTAAACACTTCACATTTTATCACATTTTTATCTACCTGAAATGCAATATGAAAAAGGCTCTGAGTTTTATTTCTATATAAACCGCAGTGCCAACAACGTTTTTAAAGAGAGATCTGCAATTTATTTATTTTTAATTTGTAAATAAAATCCAAGAGATCCTCAGACAGCCACCCACAGACAAAAAAGGTTATGAAGCAGGCGTGCTGCAGCTGTTAAAGACAGATAATGCTAATGGCCCTGGAAACAGCATGCAACAAAGCTCAATTGATATTAGTGTCTAAACAACGGGTGGAGCGGTCGAGTGACAACACAGAAGAGCCGGCAATAGCGACGAAGCCTCTGCAACAACAGCAACACACGCATGCCAAGCACTGGCGCCCACTGCGAAACTCCCCTCGTGGTTTTCTTTTTCAAAAAGTACAGTATATTGCTCCTGCCACGCGAAGACATTTCACCCTGAGAGTTGGCAACACGACGATCAAAAACGCGATCATGAATCAGATTCAAGCAGGGATGCCAACTGGCCCCAGATTAACAGAGAGCCTCTTCACCTCGCCTTTAAATAAAACACAAGGTGAACAATCACTGCTTGTAAACTGACAGGTACTGCTTATGTATCGACAGATGTTATTCAAATAGATTTACGAAAAGGCGACATCAGGGATATTTTGTATTTGCATCATTTCGTTATTGCATATTGCGAATGCGGTGGAGGCCGGGTGTTAAATCATACATCTTGCTAATGTGCAAGAAGCCAGTAATGAGGATCAGCTGATCTGGCCATCTGATCAGGGGAATCTCTGATTGACAACATGAAAATCAACCAACAATGCCATTCTGCTTACTTTAGACGGGAATTGGTTTCAGTTTAGAGGCAAACAGCAAAGCCTCCCCTGTCTCAGTGTGCCAGCTGGCAACCCTAGATGCCATCTCCCTAAGGAGACGCGGGATCCGTTTCAGAATCAATGCAAGGTAGAGGAGTAGTGTTCATGCAGACTTCCTGGATCGGTCTTAGATCATTGATCCCAGCTCACACCGCACAACACGCTTCATTTGAATCTCCCCTGTGACCAGCACCCCTTATATAACCCGTACAGATGAGTCCGCTTAGGGCACGAATGGCGGTAACGAAATGGATAACAAGTTGTCTGGATGTTGGTTCAACAACACAGAGTTCCATCCGGGGGGAAATCATTGAGGAATATATCTCTATAACCCTGTAGAGACTGAATAATCACAGATTCAACTACACAGTTACTGGGCGAGAAAAAGAGACGGGAGGACAGAAAGACCGGGCGAGAGACAGGTCCCCCACCTCACTGTTTATTTGTCGAGTTTTTTGGGCGAATGGGACCGGATCCGTCTTTCTTCTGGGTTTAACTAACGCCATTAGGTAACACGGAGAACTCGCCCAACAGAACATCAGGAAGAGGTGACAGAATCCGCGGTGCTGAACGATTAAACCACAGCTGGATACAAAGTAAACACTCTCCTAATAGATTTTTCGTTTGTTTACTGGAAGATCCACTTCACTGTCTTGATTTATGGTGTTAAACCCTTTCCTAATCCTGTTATATTAGGAAGATTAAACGGGGAGGGCAGATCCACACAAGTGTGAGGTATCACCACATTCTATAGTTAAGTAACAAGAAAAGACACCTAATCCGCCCTAATTCTTGATTAGCTCTCGCAGTTTAACGATGAAGCACATTCAGTGCATCTCTGCTCCACGTTACCATTATGCACAGCAATTTCATAATTAAAAATAAAGTTGAGGTAAAACAAATACAGTATATCGCTCGTACTCATCGATGATTAAGACTGGTAGAACTGGAATAGCATTTACCTTTGAGAAGGACCATTAATTTGCTTAATACGGCGCGGTCCAGTCTGGTCTCGTGGGTAAATTTCCTCAAAATCTCCAAATATCATCACCTTGTCGTAAGGAGCGGTCGACTATGAATGCAAAAGGATCCGTTTGGGTGTCTTGTGTATAATGACAGTCTGTACCTCCGAGGAAACCAAATAGGTGAAGGAGTAGCGCCTCACAAATTAAGTATCCAAAGAAGAAACAAAAAGAAAATAAAGAAGAGTGTGCTCGGGAAACAAAAACTTCTCAGTGGAAATTAAAGAAACTGCAGAGCGCTATTAGAAAAAAAAATCTCCGTTACCCGCATAAGGTTAAATTGAAAACCGCACCTTAATTCCAAACCGGTCCACAGAAGAGGCGGTAAAAAAGCCACAACCCAGATCTGTACTTCCAGAGCAAATGTCCTACTAAAGCACATAGCACCTGAAAAGGAGAAACGAACAGACCACAAGGTATGCCCTTTAGGTACTAAGCGTCGCGAACAGCCCCTTCTTCCGTATAGTCTCGAAAAATGATCTCCGTACCCTTTGGGTAATTCCCGTTTTGCTTGGTTAGCTGTGATAATAATGAAGGATAACGCAGGGAACCGTCCAGTCCTCTGTCATCACAGATAGACAACACTTTGGTGACAGCGATTTCTTAAAAAAAAAAAAAAGACGCAGAGAAACCCGGCAGCTGGGGGGGGTTTGATTCAGAGGAGCTTGTGATAATTTGATCTTCCTCCGTTGTCCTCTCCCGGCGTCCTGGCGTCGAAGAGATTCGAAACTCTCCAGCGCAACACAGAATAAACTGGAAAGACTTTACTTCCCCCTTCTTATTTTCCGCGTCTTTCCCGGCTTTTAGGAAGCACGGGTTGATCGAGCAAACCAGCCTGGCGCGGGCTAGTTCTCCATTTTAATGCCTCAGACCTCGTCGCGCTAGATCCCCGAGGATTTCCACTTCATTTGGGATCAAACAAGGGAATCCCACCCACGCACATTGCTAGCGCGTTTGAAATGCACAGGCACACGTATACAGTCTATGTGTACATGCGTGTGCTCTCGCATCTATGTTGCCGTCCCCCGGCTGCCCTCCATTCCCCCACCGCACGGACGCAGCGGGCTGTTTCTTGGAAGAAATCAGCTTGCTGTCTCCAGTTTCACGCCACGGGTGAAAGCGAGCAGGGAGGCAGAGGGCAGCGCGCGTTTGAAAGAAATGAGGGCAGAAAAAATGACACGCATCCGGGCAGGCCTGTTAATTTAAGCCGGATCTGGCCAGAGGGAATCCTGCAACGGGACTCCTCTCTTTAAAAAGATCAAATGAATCAAGCGCTTAAGCGGCTTGTGTTTGGGGGACTGGCAGGTCAGCCCCGGTTTGATACCACGCACTGTAAATGCAGAGCGACGTGTCTTGGCTTGGCAGCGGGTCTCGGAGAACGGGCTGGGCGGCTCGATCCAGCCGCTGCGTGCGCTTGTAATTTGTCCTTATTTGTTTCCGGATACACGCCGGTCTCGCCGTTGAGCCCGCCAGCCCCGGAGGAACGGCAGGGTGTTACCGCGCTCCTGCGCTACACAGCCTACGGAAGAAGAGAGCAAGAAAGACATCAGTTGTCCTCGGCGATGCTCGAATCGGATGCGTTGTGGGAGTGTTGCGGCATTCCAGTCGCATCCCAAAACTTTGCATAAACACTCGGCTGATTCCTGACGCTCTGAATGATTCCTGCGGCACGGCAGCGTAGTTTCTCCTGCTTGAAATACAGCATGACGGTTTAGGAGACTGTCCCGGATACGAATGCAGGGGTGTGTTTTTTTTTATTGCTGTCAAGCTATGAAGCAAGCAACACTACATAGAGATTGACGCTCTGCTGGCAGGATGGCTACGGCGACCAGCGCTATACAGTACATGCCAAGGAATCGAAAGAATAAACAACCCTGCAGATGTCTTGCGACAGGGAATCATCGGCTAAATCGAGAGGCTGATTAATTACTAAAAGCTGGAATCAGTTTCCAGTATCTCCGTAGACAAGGCGCCCACCAGACACTAGGAACTCCGCTGCCGCGCGGCTTAAGCGAGGATGTGCGAGTCTGAGAGATTATTCCCAAAGCTCGCCTGTCACAGGGAAGATGGGGGTTTCGGGTCGCTTGCCGGCAGATATGAAGGCATTCCAGGTCTAGCATTCATATACTCCAGCTAAAACTGATCTCAAAAGACGCTGCGCTGACATTCAGTATATCGCTAGCCTGAAGAGGTGCTGAGATGACTGGTTATAAATTGCTAAGGAAATTTGCAGAAAGAGGCTCTGTATTTTTATTTCAAGCTGCATCACATAGAGATTCCTTCCCTCACCCGAAGCAACAGTGCACACAGTAGTATCATAAGCAGAGAAATTAGAAATGTTGCCCCTCCGTGCCATTACTTCACTATCAATCAGTTTATCGGATCCCTTTCAATTCGGAAAAGGGCTGTATGTACCTTGTACCTCGACTTGCAAACCTTGTCAGCAGAAGTGAGTTGTCACCCTCACGCCAGATTTCATCCGGAAGGGACACGGCTGTACCATTTCTTCTGGTGTCTGAGTGGCATGGTGAACAAAAGCTCCGAGCTGGTATCTATAGTGGCTGAACCGTACGATTCTAAAGTGAAAACGGAATGTATGCACGGAGAAATGTATATTTTGGAAGGTGAACCTAACATACTGTACCAGCAGTGGGGAGCTGTGATTAACGGCTTGGACCCTAACTGGACGGTTGTGGGTCGAAATCCCATGTGAAAAACAGAGCTATTGTAACCTTGAGCAAGGTACTTCACTCCGCTTGCTCTATTAAAAATGCCCAGTTGTATAAACGGCTGCAAAGGGAATGAACTATAGCTAAACAGGCATCGTCAGGCACATTAAATACAACAGATCTTACATTTTCTTTCTGACAGTTTATGCGATGGATTGCGGCTCAGTGGGACGCTCGTTTGCATATTCAAACCATTCCCCACAATGTCGCTGTATTTATTTTCCCCAGAATGCTATAAACCTCCACGAAAGCTGTCAAATGAATGAACAATGTCTTAATCACACACTGCTCCAGTGCTTCAGACACTTATTGCTAACTTTGTGCAATGTTTCCTTTAAAAAAAACCCCACCATATTATACCACATTTGCGCTTAACGCCTTGCGGGGAAGCCGAGGAGTTTCAAGACGATCGAACCCGCTCCGGCTCGGCGCCGAGTGAAGGAGCTGTCCAGCGCAGAACGGCCCTGAAGTACTCTCGTCGATGGTTTCTGCCTTCTGCCCTGCTCACTTCCTAACTACAAGAGTCACACAGGAGGCATTTAAATACTTCAAGTAACCGACTCGTGTAATTGGAAGAAAGATTAAATGATACTGACAAAACGCCTTTTTTTTAATGGCGCCCCTCTATCACCTTCGGAAGGCTAAGGTGAAGTGTAACTAACGTCCACCTTTACAGTAAAAGTGAACGCAAAGCCATCTTGAAATCAAAACTTAAATTTTTGATTAAAGAAGGGGGAACAGCTTAAATAAACTACTGTAGCACCTTCCAGACATTTCCCATGCTCACGAGCGTGTATACGTGCCGTGCACTTTTGACTGAACAGTTCAATGTCTGGGACTTTCCTGAACCCTCTGCCCGCCGCACTAACACACGGAGCAGCACTCCCAGTGCGGATACACATACGAGCACAAACAGGGGAGACAGAAGGGCGTTCCTTGCCTACTGCCTACCGCTCCCCTCTTTTCTCGATCGATGATTTTCACCAAAGAGGTGCTGCACTTCATCACGGCTCAGACATAAGCGACAGCCGACAGACCTACGGGGCGCAGACGCTATTTTCAGGGTGCGCGCAAGAGTGAGACAGATGCATTAGCAGGGCTTTTTCTAGATTCCTCCGGTGTAACTCCGGTGTTTAAAGGATAGGGCAGACAGAGAAAAACAACGCTATTTCTTGCCTTGAAAGAAGAGCACAGAGATGGAGAAGGTCAGAGGGACTTTACCATTTCTTGTTTCAGGAAATAATCTACGTCGTCCACAATAGCTAACGACACGCGAAGCTATTGCTGTTTGACAGGAGAAAAGGGGATGATGCAAAACTTCTGAGGAATTAAGTAGTCCTATTTGATAATAAAGTCTAATCACTTTTTTTAATAAGTTTTAGATTAAATTAAGTCATTACGAGATAAATCACATAATTAAATAATGTGATCGAGCGCCTCTGCTGGCAAGAAAAAGCATTTACATGACCAAGCTTTATTAAAGCAAGAACAAGTTACTTTAGAGTACATTGGATAACCTTCTTGAAACATCTTATTACTTCACTAAAAAATGAAAGAACACTCCATTATTAATATTACATAATATTACATTGTTATAGTTACATATTTTTATGACTTTATCATTTCCAATTATTTAATATTTTACTTTTTCTGATTTAAGTTATATTTAAGCAAGGTTCCTGTGTCCAGGTTAGGACAGAAGCCAGATTTTTTATCTTTCTATACATAAAAACACAATATAGTTATATTTCAAATAATGACTATACATATTTATAGACATCAAAGTTGTAAAATATGTTGTAAAGTTGAGTAGAATGCCCCACTAAGCCTACATAATAAAGATGATAAAGAATCCTTTTCGGTTTAAACTGGAAACCTGTAAAATTGAAACACTACGGTTGGAGTGTTCTTATATCTGAAATTGTCTGCATGCTTTCAGAATCTGAGGTCTGCAGGAAGCGATTGTGCAGTTAACAGCAGTGCACAGTTCACAGGTCACCTTTTCTAATACTATAGTAGTGGGGAAAAGACATCAACCAGATTCAGAGCCTAAATTAGGGTTGGAGGACTTGTCTGAGAAATATTAAAAGAAACAAACATTTTGCTGCTATGTTTGTTGTGTAACGGTTCTTCAGGAGTTTTATGCTGTATCAGCGTTTTATGTCTGTATCGGCACCTATATGAGATAGACAGAGACTAATGATATTATTGACATAATAACAGCTAACATACCTGCTAATGACTACCTTAACCATCAGCAGGAAAAAAAAGACCCAGCCAATATTATTAGGCCAGGCAAGGATCAATATCAACCATGGAAGGTCATTACAAATACAGAGAGAAAGCCCTAAGGTCTTTGGTCTCACACTGATCAGTGTGAAGGCCGTTTGTTAGGATGTGTCTTGACAGCACAGATGGGAGGTTTGGGGCACTCATTGCCTAGAATCTGAAAACTTGCAGAAAGGTCTTATATTTGTGGTGTGAGACAAGAGGCCTTTTATTTCTATTGGACTATAAAGCAAAATGACACTCGATCTTGGGACAGTGTCTAAAACTCAGATGGTGTCCAGGGGTATGATCCAAAGCACAGACAGAGCAGGAAAAGGGTCACAAATTGTCAATCAGACATCACTCATTTGGTATAAACCTCCTCTCTTCATATGGACAACCTTACATTTCTGCTGCCTTCTTCCTCTCGAGCTTTCATCTCATTGTTGCCTGTGAAAGCATCAATCAAAAGCAGTTACTGTACTACTGAAGCTGTACGCCACCAGTACTTCTGGATAGTAAGTTAACACCAGCAAAGGCACACCACTGTAAATCTTTTTAAAATGCTAAATGAAGAAAATGTTTCTGAATGTACAGGTATTTGTAACATGTCATAAAAGCTCGGAAAAAAACTCTAGTCGAATGCAGCAGAAAGAAAATTCATTTTAGTGGTTCTGGCTGTCTTTAGGCATAATAGAAGATTTAGTTTTTGAAGCTCGGAATGCAATCCAGATACACAATGTTGTGCACATTACAGCTCTTGCTCAGTCTTCAATTACCCTTATGACAACATGAGGAATTCTGACTGTAAGGACCAATGTTTTATTCTCTGAGAACTATTTTCAGACACTTGTTCAGTGGCTTTGTCTACAAATCAATACCAGAGTAAATAATTTATTTAGTAAAACAGAACCTTATAAATTAGACTGATTAGATAGCTGACAACACATTTGTAGCAAAAGACATTGGAGAATGTTGTGCATTTCACGCCTTTAGAAGTCAATAAGCTGCAATGCCTACAGGACGAGGTCTATTTATTTACTTCTGCGCCTTACAGATGAACAATATGAGTCTGCCAACAGTGATGGAAGCCCCAATTATTGTTATAAGATTTTTAAAAATGAAACATAGACTCTCGAATAAATAAGATGTATTCTCTAAAATTTCAAGCTTATTTCCTTTTGATTTTCTCAAAAAAAAACCAACAGAAATGTTTGCATGATTCCTTAACTTTAAGAATAGTTTGGGGTGTGTGTGTGTGTGCAAACAGCTCTTGAAGCCAGTCATTAGAATACATTCAGCCTACGGCTTATGGGTATCCCTTAAATAATCAGTTTCTAAACACTTGGAACATCGTCATTTTTTTCACTGAAGCAGATGGCTTCTTCAATTAAGCTGTTTAGAGATCATTTGATCTGTATGATCAAATGAAAGCACCAACACCCTGTAGTTCCTAAGGACCACTTCTGGCCATCTCTGATTTAAATGAACCAATTAACTTACTGAATGGATCAAAGCTCACATTCTATGTGTTTTCTTACAAATTGACAATTTAAGGGTGACCTATTAGCCCTGCCGGATTGTGACTTTCTAGGATGAGGGCTGGCCACAGGACCTAGAGATATAGCTCTCTATTCATATCCAGATCTACAACGTGGGCATATACCCATCTGTCTGTTGAAATATCGAAACAGTGTTGTATATATTTTTCTACACATAATAGTGACAGACAGAAGATGGAGGAAGAAGATAACTTTTGTATAATTAATCCCTGAACTTGGGCTTCCCGTGAACTGTTTCATAACTGTGATTGATGGGTTTATTCTGATTCACTGTCCATCTTAATTGTCTTCTTACTGACAAAAAAAAGTGTCAGACACTGAACTTTGAAAATATTAACACTGATTAGATTAAGACTATGAAACTGAAATCCATCTATTTTAATGGGGAAACTGGAAGCAATATAAGAAACAGATTAGCAGGATGGCTCATTAAATTAGTACTTTGGCATTTTGCTGTCTTCAGTGCTTTATTCCCAATCAATTGTGACCTATTGGGAGAGCAGAGCTGCCAGGCTTGAAATCACATGGAGAAATAGACCTATGGAGACTCACCAGGGACTGGAGGACCAGTGAATTAAAACAGTAACCACTGTATGAAATCCTTGATTTGGGAAAAGCGATTATTATATACTGTAAAAGCATTAATTTATCTGCAACATTTGCTTCAAGGCTTTTGGGAAAGGTAGTGTAGAAAGAACACAGCATAAGGGTACCAGAGTCTGAAAATGTCTCATCTCCTTTCCTGTTTCCACTTTGGATCTCCTGCAAAGACCACACTCTTCAAACATGCATGTCCCTGTGGAACTCTGGATAACTTGTTCCTGTCATTATCAGAGATTATTAATAAGAAAATCAGACAATACATTTCTGTGCAATAG